AATTGTCATTTAATGTTTAATTATCTATGAAAATAACGGTAAAACAAACAGGACACAAACTTTGTTTTATTTTATTATTTTATTTTATTTTATTTTTGAGTTGGAGTCTCACTCCGTCGCCCAGACTGGAGTGCAGTGGCATACTCCCGGCCACCGCAGCCTCGACCTGCTGGGCTCCAGTGATCCTTCCGCCCCAGCCTTCCAAGTAGCCAGAACTACAGGCGTGCGATTTTTGATTTATTGTAGAGATAAGGTCTCGCCAAGTGGCCTGGGTGGTCTCAAACCCGCGGGCTCAGGCAACCCACTCACCTCGGCCTCCCAAAACGCTGGGATTACTGGCTGAGCCACCAAGCCCAGCAGGACACACACATTCTTGAGGAATTTTTGTCAAAGTAATCATGAGCTGAGCATAGAGCATGTGCCTGTAGCCTCAGCTACACCAGAGGCTGAAGTGGAAGGACTGCTTGATCCCAGGAGTTCAAGTCTACCCTGGGCAACACAGTGAGGCCCTGTCTAAAAAAAGAAAAAAAAAACATTTTAAAAGTGATTATACTGTACTGAAATCTGAAAACCTCATTTTACTTAACATGTCATGTACTTGGCCTTAGGAGTCCGTGACATCTCAATTTTCCCATCATTAAATTGATTTAAAAAGTCAAATTACTGTATGGGAATTCTATCAAACATCTCGAAGACACCATATAAACATAAGGTATTATAAATGTTTAACCAGCCGGGCTCGGTGGCTCAGTTTGTAATCCAGTGCCTTGGGAGGCTGAGGTGAGTGGATTGCCTGAGCCCGCGGGTTCGAGACCAACGTGGGCAGCGAGACCTCATCTCTACAATAAATCAAAAAATTATCTGGGTGTGGTAATGCGTGCCTGTAGTCCCAGCAACCTGGAAGGCTGAGGTGGAAGGATCTCCGGAGCCCGGCAGGTTGACGCTGGGATGGCTGTGAGTGTGCCACTACACTCCAGCCTGGGCGATGGAGTGAGATTAGACTCCAACTCAAAAAAAATGAATAAATAAAGATAGAGTCTCACTCTGTCACTGGAGTGCAGTGGCCACTCCCAGCCACCGCAGCCTGGACCTGCTGGGCTCTTGCGATCCTTCCGCCTCAGCCTTCCAAGTAGCTAGAACTACAGGCACACCTACCACACCCGGCTAATTTTTGATTTATTGTAGACATGAGGTCTCACCAAGTTGCCCAGGCGGGTCTCGAACCCGTGGGCTCAGACAATCCACACACCTCAGCCTCCCAAAGCACGGGATTACAGGCTGAACCACCGAGCCTGGCTAATAATTTTTTTATTAAAACAGAAAAAATTCCACCAAAAATCATTGTATTACAAACACACACTTCACAACAACTTGGACACAATATATTTTTGCATGTAAAAATATTTTGTGCACACGTTATATGTACAACATGGTGAACAAAGTATGAAGAAATATTGGCAAGATACTTTACCTCACTGCAATTTACTCCACTCTAACTTATTATAACTAAATATGCCTAACCTTAAGCAGGCCCCCTCACCTTGAACTTTCAGACAGCTCAGGTACTTTCACAGAAAGGAAGTAATATGGTGTGGTATAAAGAGCTGAGTGACAGATTTGTTATGAAAGTCTTGCACTTAACTTCTATACACCTCAGTTTTCTTTCTTATAAAATAAAATAGTTGGACTGTCTGTCTTCCATTTTAAATAGGCTGTTAAGAACTTAATTCAGAACCAAATACATTACTTGTACATAAAAGTAAAAACCTGTTAACCTAAATGTTAATCAATATTTCACACAATAGAATACTATATGACCCGTAAAAAAAAATAAAAACCTGTGGTTTAAACCTGTGGCTCCATATGTACTAATTTAAAAAGATGTCCCAGGCTGTTAAAATGAAAAAGCAAAATGCAGATAGTATGACTCCATTGTATGTATTTTAAGGAGATATACATGTATGCACAGAAATTTTCTAAGACACACAAAAAACTTCAAAGTGGTTATCAGTGGAGAATGAGGAGTGCTAATTTTTAAAGAAATTTAACTTCTTAGTCTTGTATAGTATGTGAAAACTTTAAAAATAATGAACATGTATTCGTTTTATGATTTTTAAAAATAAACAAAAGTAAAGGTCTGCTGATCTGGGTTCTATAATTAGAAGAGACCTGAACTCAAATACTGTTTTTGCTATTTACCATCTGTGTGATGTTACTAAGTTACTCAACCTCAGTTTCTCCGTCTGCAGGAAAGAGTTAATAGTACCAACTTTACAAAACTTTAGGGAGGATAAAAGGAAATCAGCACAGCACATTGTAAGAGGACAGCTATTAACGACTATTATTGGGGTTACCATAAACATTATTATAAATTCCAGAAACTGCTGTCTTTAGAATTAGATTTGACAGTTCATCCAATGATCATCAATCTTGCAATCAATTTCCTTCATCTAAAACTCATTCAATCTGATCACTATAAGAGTGAGTGTTAATTGAAGGTTTAAAAAAATAACTATCACAGGTTAAAAAAAACCAACATGGTAATCAGAGAAAAGTTTGGGTTTTAAGTGTTATCTAACAAAAATAGTCTTTATCATTATATGGATACCTTGTCCAAGGAACCAGAATACTTATGACAGCTGGACAGGACACCTTGATCTTTACAGAATGTTGAATACATAAAAATATACTTTTTTCTTTTTTGCAAATTAAGCTTCCAATATAATTTTTTCTATTCTAATATACAATTGCTCATTTTCCTAAAAATTATGCTGATAGTTCATGCACATAATTTAGCCATTAATTACAAATAACAAGTCAATCGAATAGGAGATATAAAAATGAAATTTCCATTAAATCCTAAAAAACATGCTGAGTAGCTTTTTAAAATGGAACTTTTCTCCACAGAATTAAGAAAAAAAAAAAAATTCAGGCTGAACATTATCAAATCAAAACACTCCAAGGTGTAAATCTGATTTTTATACTCAAAGTATCCTTACAAAGTACCACTCTAACAACATTAAATTTAATTTTTCTAACAACACAACAACACATCCTAAGCTTCTATATAACAACTGAGATGTTGCCATTAAGATAGATTAAATCAATATGTAGTACAACTGGTTTGTGTCCACCATATTACAATTTTAACAGGCCTTCCTGGTATTAGAGAACAGTTTCAATATCAATGACAGATTAAAGTTTGGGTTACCCCAATTACAATTATAAAACAAAAGGTCACATGCATTTAATCCTTTTCAATATAAAAATAAAATAGGATTCATTTAATAGCAATGTATCTACTGTGAGTTTGTCAGGATGTAAGCCTTTAGAATAGTAACTATTTCAAATTGAACAAGTGGTTATATTTGAATACATTAAAGAATTGTTGTAGCTTTCTTGAGAGTGAACTGAACTTCCCACCAAAAAACAACACACACACACACACACACACACACACACACACACACACACAAACTGGCACCTCAGTGGGTTCTAAGAACTGTATGCCTACTTAATAGATCACTACACTGGGCTGAATTGGCATTTGGAGATTGTAGTCAACTAGTTACATGATAGCAAAGGGAAGGGAGGGAGGAAAGAGTTTATTAAAAAAAGAAAGAAAATACTATTCTTAACACACCCATCACCTACAAGAAAGAGCTATCGGAAACATCACTTTAAAACAGACACATTTCTAATTTTTCAACGTTCAAAATAGAGCAAGCACATAATCTACTACAAGCAGATCTTCCTACCCCTTCTCACCCCCACACAGTGCTTTGCCAAGAGCACAGGCCTAAGTAAAATAACCGATGCAATTTCCTTGTTTACTTAAAGAATTGCAGAAAACATGTTGACTGCTCCTGGGGCCTCTGAAACAAATGACTTTTCAAAATTTAAGACTTTTCATGATCATGTTTGGAATACGAGTGTAGTAAAGATTCTTTCAGCTATTAAAAATCTAGTTTTAAATTGAACAGAAGGGTTAAATTTACACCGCAGTTCATCAGCATGCGTTGTTTGCAACCAGAAGGAAGAGGGAAAAGAGGGAGAAAAGCAGCAAAACACACAAAATGGAAAACATCACCACCTCCTTCAGTGGTTATGAATAATTTAAAATGACCCAAAGATGTAAGGGGGAAAGAGTTCACCAATAGAAAGGGGGTTAAAATTTGGACTAGCCCCTTCCAAATTCATACTGAGGTCGGAGAGGAAAAAGAATTTATTTACACTGCAGTGCCTGGCAGCAAACATGGCTGCCCCTGCCCCCTTTAAATCGGAATAGTCTTCACTCCCTCACCAAAACCATCAAATTATGGCCAGGTCTCTCTCTACCATAACACAAACACATCGCCTCCTCCCTCAAAACGGTAAAACCCACACCTCCCCATTTCACAACCATCACAACCTCATAACCACTAGCTTCTCTATTCTCTAGCCTTGAAAGAAAAGGCACAGAATACACACAAATATAGGAACAAAAGGCTTCCCTTCCTAACACTTTAACAACCCCCATCCCCTTCTTTTCCTCCCACTCTGTGATGCGAAGTCGACCGTTCTCATCCCTATCAATATTCAGTTAATTTCCTTCCCTAACCCAATCCTACGTCTCCGTTTCCTGCGTCTATTTCCTACCCTCCTATTGCATCCTGCCTCAATCATTTCTCATCCCTTTTCCTAACACTCGTTTTCCTCCACTTCCATTCCCTTGTTTCTCCCTTGATTCCCATAAGATGCCCATCCCTCCACCAAATTCTACCCTCTTCCCTCAGACTCTTCTAGTTCCCACACTCCACCCCCAAACCTCCCCATTTCTCAGTCCACCCAGTTTCCCATCTCCAAATCTAACTCCAGTGCTCCTTCCCTGCCCCTCCCCCGTTCCCATCCATATCCCCGCCCCCATCCCACCTCTACTCCCAATTCCCAGCTCAGCGCCACTCCATCTCTTACCCCAATCCTACCTCCCTGCCCCACCCCCATCCTTCCACACCCCCCACCTTGCCATCTGCTTCTCCTTCGGGACTCCCCTCGAGCCCTTT